CCCCCTCTGGTGTAGGTAGCCTTCTGGAGGGCTCAGAGTCAAGTGCTCCAGGGACATGACAAGACTTAGGGGAGGTAGGGAAGTGGGAAGCTGAGCTAAAACCACAGCCTTCAGCGCGTGGTCCCCCACAGTTCAGGGGGAATCTCCTGCACCCCTCCCAACCCACCTCCATCTGTGTATAACAGTAAGGACCGAGACAACTTGGCATTGTTCTCACCAGCTGAAGTCCAGCACCCCTGCCTCTTCCCCGTCAAAAACTATGCCCCTTCCAAGCTGTGACCCTGGGTCCTTTGCAGCCCTGTTGCCCACAGGCTTTCTGGCACAAGGCCCATTTTCACATCCCACCCCTTCTAACCTCAGCCACTCCGAGGTGCAAGACCGTCCCTAAACAACCCCTATCGCCCCCATTCCATGAGAAAACAAACAGGGAGACTGAGCAAATTCCATTCCAAGGCATCCTCCCTTCTCCTGAACCAGAGGCTCCGAAGAGTGCAGCTTTGCACGCGCTTGTGCTTTTAACTTGCGTGCAGACAAGCACCAAAGACCTAACCGGATATACCTGTTATTTCCCAATGACCTGAGATCCTGAAGTTTATGTTAAGCCTTGGGTTATGACAGAGCTTGCACGCAAGGCTCTGCAGCTCCCTCCCACAGGCGATTCAGAGGTGGTTGTGTGGGGGACAGTGGAGCCGCTCTGAAGTGACGGCACATAATTTAATTCCTCCAAAGCTTTCCAAGCGTGCAGACTGTTCCTTTTTTGTCAGCTTATAACCTAAGTGATTTGTTCTACTCTGGCAAGAAATGTCTGATTAAAACCATATTGCTCTTAAGCCCCAGAGTGAAGGATGAAAACTCCCTGAAGCTTAGCTGGTGTGTGGTTAGACAGGTGACAGCTGACACACAACAGCCCCCAGCCCTGTGCTTCTTAGCCAGGTCATGACTGGGGATTCGAACGTCAGAGGCTCCACACACTGTACTCACGCCCTGATCTCATACCATATCGCTCACCAACAGCTACTTTTAGAATATTTGCAGGACAGCGTTGCACAGCAACGTTGCATAGAGTTTGAACTCTGTGGGAGAGAACTTCACACCTCCGGCCTCTGTCTGTTTTTCTCTGAGATGCAAAGCAGGTTGGTGGCGCAGGTGAGCAGGCAGACCTGCTTCGGTGGCAGTCAGGTGCTGGACTCCAACACTGCCTTGCCTCTAATGAGGTTTGGGTTTGGGACAAGGAACTTCTCTCCGTACGGCAGTGAATGTATCTGTAAAGTGGTCCTCACCGACAATAATGACATTTGCATCTCACAGTCACGTTATTGTGACATTATCCAAGCCATTCCTTTAAGATTCTTGGTTTAAAATATTTTTTCTAATGACATGAAAATAGGAAAACTCATAGTAGTGGGATTTTAAAAGAGTGTTCTACGCTTGCCTCACCCAAATCCAGCTATGTCTTCCGTAGCTATCAAAACACTTCCAGTGGTCTCTACAGCCTGCCTGGGGCTGTGCTTTCACTCAAAAGGCCTCTTCCCCTCACCTTCCCCTGGTCCTGTAGAACCATTCCAGCACAGGGCTGGCTTGACTCATTGCTTCCATGATTTCTTTCTGTCCCTCATGATTTTAGGTTTTGTTTCCAGTGCCTCTCAGTCTCATCTGGAACCTCAGGGACTTATTTTCCAGTGCATCTTCCTCCGGCTTCCTTTCTCCACCACCTGCTGTATGTTCATCGTGGATGAATTAACTTGCTGAACCCTGTGGATTTCGCCACAGTACAGAGAGAATGCTCCATGGGGCTGGGAGAGACGTTCACCTCCTAGGGCGGAGAGCAGCAGCTCCAGTCTCCAAGGACACCCTTTCAGGCTAGAGTGGTTAGGCCAAAATAGCTAACCTTGACCATTTTTTTTTCAGGGAAGGATCAAAACTGATCACCTTGGTAAAAATGTGACCACTGCAGGAAATGTGAAGATGACTAGAGTCCTTGGAAGATCCTTTCATTTTCTTAAAGAAATACGAATTTTGTTCCCAATAATTGGTACTTACAGGGAAAGAGTGTATGTGGTTGACCCTATGAGGGGCCAAGAAAATGGAGGACTGTAAGGTTCACTTCTCCCAGCTCACAGGTAGAGGGGCTTGAGTTTCCTTACTGGGAAGGAGTCCCTGTGACTAAATTGAAAACTCAGTGTGTATGACATCTTTTTACTTTGAGATCAGCATAAAAATATTCAACATTACAGAACATCTTCAGAAGTGAGAAGGAAGACAGACTAATAAAGGCAAGGGCTTAAAATTTAAAATTGAGTGGTTCTCAACCTTCCTAATACTGGGACCCTTTAATACAGTTCTTCATGATGTGCTGACCTCCAACGATAAAATTATTTTGTTGCTACTTTATAATTTTGCTACTGTTAGAAATCGTAATGTAAATCTCTGATGTGCAGGACAGTGTTAGGCAACCCTTGCGAAAAGGACATTCAGCCTCCAAAGGGTAAAGACCCACACACTGAGAACAGCTGGGTTAAATAAACTCTGAAGACCTGAAGCAGGTAAAACACACTACTACCAGCGCAGGAAGACACATATGCAGCGCAGTGTGGGGACCCTCAGGCCCAGCAGGGGGAAGCACCTTGAACTGCCTTTTGCCCGTGTCTACTACAGTTTGGGCTTGAAGGACAAGAAAGGCTCAGCTCTGGAGCACAGTCTTGGTTGTTTTCCATAAAGCATTTCAGAAATGTTACTGAATGTGGCAAAGCTGTCTTTAGAAGGTCAGAGGGGGGATGGGAAAGGCAATGAATAGCAGAAGGAAGTGGAGATCACCAGGTCCCGGGAGCCTGCGTGATGTGGATGGACCAGAGCAGAGAGATGTAAACACCAGACTAAGTTTGGGGAAGTCAGAGACAGAAGCGTAGTAGGGAAAGTGCGTAATTTTTTTTCCCTTTCTGATCTGAAAGGAAAATTTGTGCTGAGAAGCATTTTGGGGGGTGCGTTGGCAAAAAAGCCTCCACCATCCCTCTACCCCCATGCCTGGAATGTTTCTAATTATCTGCTCTTAGAACCTCCCACAACAATTTCTACAAAGACTGACAGCCAGCCAGTGAGTAAATGCCTCTTCACCTGCATTAGATAAATGTCTGTCTGAACAGTGCCAGGGAGTTAGCTTTGTTTGCAGAATTTCACAAGTACCTGCAGTAATGGAAGGCTGCAAAGGTATAGATTGGTGACAGAGGAGAGGTGATTTCTAACTCTGTGATCTTGTAGCGGTAGCTTGGTGGTGGGGGAAGAGTGAGTCTAACCTCCCGTAGAGAGCAGAGATCATGAACTGCAAATAAAGAGAAGACATTTATCTTGGAAATTCAGAGTGACAGGAAACAATGCCTTATTAAGACTCTGACTGCTGGGATATTCAGTCTTGAAAATCCATGACCAAAGATGTCCACACAGAGTTTGCAGGGGAGTGAATCAAATATCGAGAGAGAGAGTATAGGGCAAGTGAAGTCTGCCTACTTGCATGCAAAAATGCTACCACACGTGATTTCCTTGGAGAACCAACAGCGAAGACTTGGAAAGGGAACGAATGGCTCCATTTCTGTGTAGTCAGTCAGAACATGTCAGCTGAAGGCAACTCCAGACTGGCTTGTATATCACCTACCTTATTTTTATTTGGAAGCAAGGTTACAGGGACATTCAAGTGTATAGAGAGATCCTTCTCAGAAACACGGATTTCCTAAGCTATCACATCGTGCATGGCATTGATCTGAACTAGCCGTGGCGTTAAGTCAGGCAGGGCCTTGACTCGGATGAAAATACTGTTTATTCACGGTAAGGGGATCTCTTACATTTCAGCCATTATTACCAGCAACCTGTGAAGTACTGACAGTACAGGCGGTGGACTGACCTTGTGAAAGCGGTAACAGTTTCTACTTCCCACCCTCCCTCTGTGGCATGTGATACGTTTCACAGACTCACTGAAAATAAGCCGTTCCTTAAGTAACACAAAACAGCTCATTTATGAATCTAAGAAGATTAAGGAATATGGTTTTACTGTGTTTGTTTAGAATCTGTGCCAAACTTTTTTTTTTCAGAAGCATGAATCTGATTTTTCTTTTCAGAAGAAAAAAAAAGAAGCACTTAAATAGAACCATTTTTTTTTTAAAGAGGGGGTTTTACAGTGAGACCTTTCTCATTCAGAGCTCTTGATAAGTAATTCACCTCTGTTTTGAGAGAATTTTTATACTCTGTTATATACGTACCACTTGGATGGATTTTTTAAGGAGTACAACATTGGGTTATTATAGTTCTGTATGATTTAATATAAAAACAATCAGACCATTCTCCAGCTAGTTGTTTATATTTCTGTATGGTTTAATTTCCACAAAAAGGTCTTTTAGAAAAGATATTTCACCCATGTTGCTTGGAACTTTGCATGAGCTCCACCTGGGTTGTAAGAAAGTTCAACCCTCTTACTTTGGCCACATCAGAGACGACCCTGGCCACTCTCCCACCGTGAACTGCTTCCCAGAAGTCTCCTGTGTCCCTGACACAACAAAGCCTTCTCATCTCCACTATGCTTGCTCTTGTTTCCTCTAGAACATTCTTTTCTGGGCCTTTCATGGCTGCCTTTGTCACATATTATGTTTCTTGTCCCTCCTTTCTAAAGAAGTGCCCTGCAGCCACCCACTGCCATCTGTCCTGTCCTCTCCTAGTACCGGGCACCCACTGCCATCTTCCCTTTTTGTTTCTTGGTTAGTTTATAGCTGTGGGCCTGGGTATGCTGCAGATCTGTCTCCCAAAGGTGCCTGTTGGTACCTGGGGCCTCTGCATGGCAGAATTAATACTCTGGGTACTGCCCTGTGGAAGTTAACTAGATCACCAGGACATTGCCTTCTGAAAGAATGAATGGCATTCTTGTGGGACTCTTCATAGAGAAGACAGAGATTGGCCAGTAACGAGGTATTGAGCAAAAGAGAATGCAGCACACAAAGCAGTACATAGAGTAAGACCTGCATGTTTACATCACTGTTTATATTTCTGTACTTTAAGCATAGGGAAAGGTAAGGAAAGATGTCCACGCCAGTGTTAAGGTGGGAACATCTCTCATTCTCTGCTCTGCAGCGTGCAGGATCAGTTGTGCTATCCTTCACAAGTGGCTAGAGGGGATGCCCATCCATTGGTGCGCTCTCCTCTCTCATTCCGTTTGCTTTCTGCCGTACTCATTGAATCAGCTCAATGTTCTGGAGGCTCTGCAAAGTCAGCCGTGAGGTTCACTCAGCCAAGGATGCCACACATTCACCAGCAACCCTGGAATGGAAAGATCCTCTCTGGTGCATAAAGGGGTTGAGTCTGGGGATGGCCCTATAATCACTCCACAATAATAAAATTGGTATCTTCATTCTACAGAGAAGGAAAGGGGGAAGTGCGAGAGAATTAAAGGGCTTGTGTATGAAATAAAAGACAGCTCAGAATTGAACAATTCCCAGCAACGCGTGGGTGCTTACATCAGCGACCAACCCTGGGCTCAGCACAGCAGTCACCCAGGACCAGCAGTTGGGTCCACCAGCAGTAGGTGCCATGTCTGCTGTTGAGAGAATCAGATGAGAAAGCCTAGATGAGAATTGAGAATGATTCCAAGGCTTGCCTGCCCTCACCTTCTGTACTTGTTGCCCTGTCCTTTCTTCACTTCCTCTGGTCTTGAACAGTAGCACATTCTTCTTCCTAGCTTTGTCTGGAGAAAAGAAACAAAGAAGAGAAAGTGAGACAGAGTCCGAGACTAGAAAGACCCCATGCTCGGATGGTCCATTAGGGGTAAAGACCTCCTTCCATCCGAGGTGACTTTAAGTGGATAGGTATCCATGCCAGGAGAAGACGGTGTCTGTGGGGCACTGAGATGTGTGTTGCCACACAGGCTATGTCTGAGATATTTGGAAAGCTGAAGCAAGCCGAGAGAGCAGAACTGCCTAAGTGTTTCACAGAGGCAGCCTGGGATTATGAGAGAAAAGGAGAGGAAAAGCCTGAGGGAAAATGAGGTGTGACTTAGACAGGCAGCACATACCTCCGTGGGACTCACGGGAGGAAACAGGAAACTAAGACTATTTCCCGAAACTACTTTTCAAAAGTGATTTCCCTAGTAAGGCCAATAAAGACTCACATTTTTCATTTTATGGATAGTATTGCTTTTCTGCACTTATGTTTGTACAGAACATACAGGAGTCAGGGGACTTCAGGCATTACACCGCTCAGCTGAAGAGGGGCCTGGTCACGGCCTGACTAACTCTGATTTTTACTCTCTAGTTTTATTTTTTAATTTTTCCTGCGGAGCCATTGCTCCTGAAATTACCTTGGATTTCCAGAATTACTGGGAATTAGCATCTTCATGACAATAGGCCTTTGTTAAAAACAGCAGCTTATAGGATCTAGAGCACCCTCCAAATGAGGGCAATTACCCCTGATGGAATCATTTTGTGGGGGCAAAATTGTTCCCCTCAAATGAGGATCAATGTCCTTACAGAGCTAGACAGAGGTAATGATCAGCCAGACCACCGATCCTCCGAGGTCACCTCTAGGACCACTGAGCACGCTTCAAATCCCTCCTGTTTCCCACTCAAAAAGCAAAACAAAACCTCAATAATCCTATTAGTCTCTTAAAGAACCTTAAGGTCACTGAACCCCTTTATCGGTTATTCTGCATGTATCCATATTGATCACGTCTCCTCTCTGCCCCTCAGCACTCCCATCCCTTTACTCGGCACACAGACACTGGAGGCCGAGCCTAGCCTGTTGGGGCTCCCAGCTCCAGTAGCACACTCTGTCAAGCCAACTGAAAGAAAGCATTCCATTGGGCAATGGCCACTTGCAGAAAGCTGACCCGAGACGGAACAACGTAATGGACCCACAGCTACTAAGATTACTTTTTTTTCCCAGAGAATCAGTCTCATCTTTCCACTTTGGCTGGCATCATCTACTTCCTTCTATCTGTTGGACTCACAAGCTCTTAGCATAAGATGCCTGCCAACTCTTCTACCAAGCCACCCACACTGCTCTTTAGGGGTGGGGGTACATGGTGGCAGGAAGTGCTATTCTAGGCTTATGATTTTTAAAAATTAAAATTAAAATTTGAAATTTTGTAGGAATTGTAGTCTGTTTCTTGTTTCTTATCATTTGTGTTCTGTTGGATTACTCTAGGCATAAGCCTTTATTTTATTATTTTATTTTCTGGGGGAGGGAGGGCAGGGAAATTTAAAATTGCACAGGACCAAATAGTAAGAAGAAACACAAGCTGTGTTAAAGAGCCAGGGTGTTTAGGAGACCTCTACTGTAACTTATGAAACCATGGAAACGTTAAGTCTATACAATCAGAAAGCTCTGTAGGGAGACGTTGTAAGTGTAGTTATGAATCAATGATCAAGAAAAAAAAATGATGGAGACTAGAGAGATGGCTCAGTGGTTAGGAACACTTGCCAGTCCTGCAGAGGACCAAAGTTCAGTTCTCAGAACCCTTATAGGTCTGTTCACAAAAGCCTGTATGTGGAATATATACATATATATGCATGTGTATATATATACATATATATGTGTGTGTGTATGTGTGTATATATATATATATGTGTGTGTGTGTGTGTATATCCATATATACACACACACACACACACAATAAGAAATAAAAGACTGTGTGTTGTGTGAGCCTGTAGTAATATGCCTCGAGTGTGCAACTATGGCTTGAACGTCTAACAGATGCAAAGGAGAAACAATCCTGAAATGGGTCGTTGAATTTCTATCACTATTTTATCATTGGAATTATTTTGTCAAAAATTAGGGTGATGGGCAGAAATGCTTCATCATACTTGTCTTCTCCCAATGCTTGCAATGGGTGGCTGGACCTGACACTGGGAACGCCAGAATCAGGCCCCTAGATCACAACTCCATTAACACAACCAGAGATAGAATGATTTTTACTAATAACTTTAGGCTAACCTATGAATAAATGTGTTCATTGAATTGTCCAGCTAGACATGTGGGATCGTAGGGAAACATCTGCTGTATGGCCTTAAATACATGAGGAACACGTCCACAGTGCAAGGAAACAGTAGTGCTGAAAAAGTGCTCTCTACCTGCCTGGGATAAAACTGTAAATGCTTCGTTTGATATTGGCATTCTTTTCTTCTTTGTACATTAACAATTTCCCTAAATGACCATAAGTTTCTTCTGTAATCTGAGTAGTCAAACATGAGACTTTTTTTTTATCAGATGAGTGGTTCCATGATTGTGTTTATTTCTCCATAAGTGTCCATTCATGTCCTGAAATATGTGTGGGTGTGTGTGTGTGTTGTGCTGTGCTCATATGTATGGAGCGATTCTCCGCAAGTGTTCTTTCATGTCCTGAGATGTGTGTGTGTGTGTGTGTGTGTGTGTGTGTGTGTGTGTGTGTGGTGCTCATATGCATGGAGTGATCACATGTATGTGGTACTCGTTTGCTTACATGTATGTACGTGATGCTCACATATACGCAATGTTCCAAAGCTGGAGCACACCTTCCATTCCTAGCAGGATCCTCTTTGCCTCTTGTGAACACTCCAATCCTATTCCACTCAGACCACTCTTCTGGAGAGCTGAACTTCACGTACTGCAGCTCCAGCCATCTTGTGAGGGTTTCCAGTGGGTGGGGGCAGGATCACTCTGGGGAGCCTGCCATGGTTTGCCCAACTGCAGCTTTGCTCACATGACCCTTAACAGTGATGTTTAAAGCAACATAGAAATAGAACAAAGAGAGGACACTTCAAGTGAGTGGAACCCTGAAGCTGATCAGCTCCAAGGATAGCAGGAGACATTCTGCTGGATGAGCACCCTCAGACTCAACTGAGAGAATCATAGGGTTTCTGCCTGAAACCATCTCGCTCTAGGGTTATAGTCAAGGTTTGGATTTCTTCTAACATTAATTACATTTTTTTCCTCAGAAGCTTAGACCTCCCCTTTCTTGTGAGCCAAAAGACAGTTTAAACAGGACAGTGTGTTGGACTTCAGCATACAGTTTCTATTCACCCATTCCTTTTTCCTTTTGCATCTGGTAGGTCCTCTCTCTCATTCTAGCACTTTCTTTGTAAAAAGCCTGCATATCCTTAACACAAGGTAGTGTCTCTGGGTATCCAACTCTGCCCATTGTCACATACCTGTAAATAATTAATAAGCTGTGTTTAGTTAATGAGCAACATCCTGTTCCGATATTAATAGCAGATTTTAAGATCTAGATACAGCTGGTGACAATTAGTGACACCAAGTTGTCTCAGTTCAAAGCTTTAGCTTGTAGAGGGAGACTGAACACTACCAGATGTAAGCAAACCAAAAAAATAATAAATAACAACAACAAACAGAGTGTAAGAGAGTCTTAGGACATGTAAGTTCATACACATGTTCACACAGTGGGGTGTCCTTGTCCCATACAAATGTCAACTCTGTCATCACCTCCCAAGACCCGGTGACTCCTCTTCTTGTTACGGCTCCCCTCAGCTCTTCATTTCCCTAGAGCAAACATAGTTTTAAAATCAAAACTTGGGGCTCAATGGTTGGACATGGGCCAGAAATGAAGACTGCCATGCAAAAGTTGGAGAAAGTGGCTTCTCTATAGTGAGGTATAAGCAGCAATTCCTACACACTACATTGAAAAACATACCCTAGGTTACAGGCAAAGGCTGGACCTCGCTCAGCAGGGTTCACAGTTCCCTAATTCATGATCTTCCTGACATCACACACATCTGATATCTCATGCCTACCGTTTCTTATTGTGAGTCATCCAGGTAGAGAAGGAAGGCACTTTTGCCTGATTTCTCCAGATCCTTCTGGATGATTCAGTTCAGCAGGAAGCTTTTCCTGCTCTCTGCTCAGAAGGACCTCTTTCAGATCAGTCCTAACTTTCCTCTTCCATCCCTCCAGCTGGTTCTCCCCTCCCTCAAGGACCAGCTGCTTCTCACAGATTCTTCCTTCGTTGAAATGCTCCCCCTCTCGACAGTGACTTTGCACCCACTTCCCATCATTCCCCTCAGCATGGGCTCTCTATCATAAATGATACAGAATGTCCCAGAAATGTTTTCAATTGCACAATACACAGGGGGAAACTCCTGCCTAAAGACTAAAAGAGACTCCTTTTTAGCAAAATCAGACTTAAGCAGAACTCCTTTTCCTGTCTCAAACTCCCTTCCTCCCACACACGGATTATTCATTCTACTCATGAAACAGTGTTAGAGGACCAGGGGAGCAGCCATTGACTGGAAGAAGAACCTCGTGGTGCTTTCCTGTTCTGACCCAACAGCCCTCTTCCCAGAGCTGGACCGGGTTCTCTCCTTTTGCATGCTTCCCTCTCATCTCTTTGGAGAGAGAAGGCAATATTTGGCTGGCATATCTGCCCAACATATGATGTCCCAACTATAGCTTTGTAACAATCAGTGCAACTCAAGGAACTCTGAGGCCCTGCTTGAACCCAGTTTCTTCATCTGTAAGATGGAGAAGTTGCTAGGCGATCCGTAGTTTCTGTCAGCATCTATACTTGATAAATTACTCATTCTCAGACTTTATTCTGTAAATTTGGTATTTACGTCTTAAACCTCATGTGTAATGGTGAAATGAAAATATCTTTCTTGAACCTCCACAGAATTTACAGGAAGGGTGAAACATTTGATGGGTAGGGTATTGGGGCTCCCACAAGAGATGTGTGAACTGGAAAAGAGCAAAGCACCGTCTGCTAAAGGTTCACGTCTCCTGGGGACCCACTCAGAAACCAAGAAATGCCTATAGGTTAGAAATATGCAGTCTCCTTCCTTCATAGTAAACATTCAGTGATAAAATACAAGTTGTCAAGAAACAAATACTGCCCGTTTTATGCTTAGATTCAATAGGGACAATCCTGCAGAAATGAAATCCAAAAGGAACAGTAAGAGTCTAGGTGGGGAAAGCCCAGCAAGGCTGGACTGTCAAGATTCTCCCTACCTCTCTCTGTGCAGCTCCCTTACACTCAGGAATGGGTCTTGAGGATCTACTAGCAGACAAGGTCAGAGAATTTTTCATGGCCAGATTTTTTTTCTCATAGAAAAAGCAGGTAAAGATTAGGAAGCATTTCTAGGTTTTTACAACTGGGCTTGAGCAAGAGGGGTTAAATATTTGTAGCCTGGTGTGGGGGAGAAAAGAGCAAGTACTTATTTAGATCAGGAGTCTAGAAACGACTCGATGTGTTTGCTGAATCAAACGCGCCTGACCCAGGCCACACAATTTGGCTGTAGCACTGCAGAGTTTTCAAGTTGGAAGAAAACTTAATACCCAGCAATTATGATCTCAGTTTGTAGAGGAGGGAGCAGAGTTTCGGGGGGGGCATCATCTTGGACAAAGCCATGCACTCCCCAGGCAGCAGCTGTAGGAGAAAGAGAAAGGGGGCAGGAGAGGAGAAGGATGGAGAAAAGGATCACAAGAGGAGCTGATGCTGAGGCTCTCCCAGTGTTCCTCAGACTGAAGTTTTCGGCCTACCAAAGCACTATACTATGGCTCCTGTGGTGCTCATTCTTGATTGTCCGTTCAACTCAGTCTGTAATCAATTAAGAGACTCTCCTGGGTGCATCCGTGTGTGTGTGTGTGTGTGTGTGTGTGTGTGTCCAGAAAGGATTAACTGATGAGACAGATCCTACCCCAGAGACCCATTGCCCTCTCACAGTAGCCCATGTATAAAGAGGCTCAAGGGAATAGCAGTGCTGAGAATTTGCCTTCTTTTGCTTCTTGCTGGTAAGTGTATTTACCCTATTGCTGCTGCTGCCATCTTTTGACATCAAATCCCAGCTTTTTTGGCTTTCCAACATCAGCATCTCTCCAGGAATTCTTCTGTGCCATACTGAGGCTGCTGAAGCATCAGCCTCCTAGGCTTGGCAGCCACGGGGTTCTCAGCCTCTCCAGTGTGCAGCCAGCCATTGTTAGGTTACCTAGATTATACAGAATAAGCAAGTCTAATAAAATCCCTTTTTGTAATGTGTGTTGACTCTGATCCTCTAGAAAGCCCTGGTTAATGCAGCCCCAGAGGGAGAAGGACAGGAATCACTGGCAAAGCAGCAGAGGTCTGAAAGAAGATGGACAGGATTCATGGACCAAATAGAGATGGAGTTCGGGGCAGCACCATGGTACAGCAGGTACCCAGAGAAACAAGATGGTGGAAGAGATGCAAGAGCTATTCACCAAGAGCAAAGGCACAAAATCACTGAAATAGTTTGGGTGATTTACAAGTCACCTTCTAAGGGCCTTCCAAAAAGAATCAGAGAGAAGTTCTGGGAGAGTCTGGACTTCTAGTGTGGTGGGTAGGAACATTGCTCTCTGAGTTCCTGTGATAGAGGGCAGATTTTGATTAATAGCAAAACAGGGTTTAAATGACCGGATGTGATGTACTCTGGCTTACGTACTCCAGTGCAAAAAGAGGAAGAGACAAGCCGAGGTGCCATGTAAGACTCCTGCAGCTGTGCCTGAGTAGCATAACTTTGTAATAAATCATATCTCCCTGTACCTTACGTTTCTCAGCTACAAAGTCAGATCATAATTTCTGGGAACTAAATTTTCTTCCAACTTGAAAACTCTGCTGGTTCATTGACCAAATTGGCAGGCCTGGTTTGGGCCCTTTAGGTTCAGGAACCGTATCTGAATTGTTTCTAGACAGTTGATGTAACTATTATCCTTTAAGGCTTTTCTTTTTTTGTTTTAATTTGGGAAAGACAGGACACAAGACTTTGAAAAAATCTAGAAGAGACTTCAGTTATCTCATATTCTTAAAAAACAAACAAACAAGCAAACAGCATGAAGGAGCTGGCCAGAACTACCATTATAAATGAAGCTTGACTGATTCAAAGAATGATGTCAGCAACTGCAGCCTCAATTGCAAGTTCAAAGACAGCGAGTTTCCAGGTTGCTTAGCCTTCCATTCCCACGATTCTCAGCTCTGCGTTGTCTGTGTGTAGTTCAATACTCAGTCTAGGGAGAATACGGCCATGGTAATTGCAGGAGTGAGCACAGCCATTGTAAACAACTTTCTATTCCTATAGCTCTATCTTAAAAACTGGGAATTTTCTGGAAGACTCAGGAAACTTCCCTTTGAATTTCATGAAGCTGATTGATTCATATGCTTGTTTCTGAATGGAGCATGGCT